TGACCTTTTCTGGATCTGCCCTTCCTCAATACATCGAGCTGGGAAAACTTCGTCTTCCTGTGCGGTTGTTTGTACCTCGGGTCATGAACTGCCAGAATTGTAAGCGGTTGGGACATACGGCCTCCCACTGCGGCAACAAGGCACGCTGCTCCACATGCGGGGAGAAGCATGAGGATGGCGCCTGCGCAGCTACTGCACCAAAATGCGTGTACTGCAATGGAACTCCTCCTCATGCTCTCTCGTCGTGCCCGGCGTACAAACAGCTCGGGGACAAAATGAAACGCTCTCTTAAGGAACGTTCCAGGCGGTCTTTTGCAGAAATGCTTAAGACAGCCAAGCCATCGACCAACGAAACAAATCCCTTCGCTCTTTTGTCAGATGACGAGTCTGGCTCTGACTTGGCTGAGGAGGGAGTTTCTTTCAGTTTTCCGGAAGGTTCTGCCCGGAAACGAAAACGCATCCGTTCGCGGAAAGTTGCAGATCAAGAACCCCAAATCAGCTTGCCCAAATCAAGGAGTGGTGGAAAAAAGGAGACTTCTACTCCTCCTGGATTCCGCAGAACTGATTATACCCAGGATTTTCCACCTCTTCCGGGGACATCCAAAACCCCTGATGCCCCAATTTTAAGAACAGAAACCCCTTCTTCATCTGGGCTGTTCTCATTTGATGACATTGTGGACGGTATTCTCAAATACCTCAACATTTCTGATCCTCTGAAAAGCATTGTCCTCACATTGCTTCCGACTGTGAAATCCTTCTTGAAGCAATTGACTTCAAAATGGCCCCTTCTTGCAGCTATCATCTCCTTCGATGGATAATTTTCCAAACGAGGTCGGGGATTTGATCACTGTTCTACAGTGGAATTGTCGAAGTCTTATTCCGAAATTAGATTCGTTCAAGTATTTAGTCCATAACAATAATTGCGATGCATTTGCCCTCTGTGAAACATGGCTCTCTTCAGAAATTGATCTCCCTTTTTACGATTTTAACATTATTCGATTGGATCGTGAGGATTCGCGTGGAGGAGGGGTACTTTTGGGGATCAAAAAGTGCCATTCCTTCTATAGAGTGAATCTTCCCGAATTCCCCGGTATTGAAGTTGTCGCATGTCAGGCTACCATTAAAGGTAAGAGCCTTTGTATTGCTTCTGTATATATTGCTCCTAGAGTCTCTGTTAATCGCAAACAACTTTTCGACATATGTGCGGTACTTCCCGCTCCATGGTTGATCATGGGAGATTTTAACTCCCACGGTACAGGCTGGGGGGAACTGTACGATGATAACCGTTCTACTTTGATTTATGATCTCTGTGACAACTTCAACATGACAATCCTTAACAATGGAGAAGTAACACGTTTGGCTGGTCCATCCTCGAATGGTAGCAGATTAGACCTCACCTTTTGCTCCAATTCACTATCGTTGGATTGCACTTGGCATGTAATCCAGGATCCGCACGGTAGTGATCATCTGCCGATCAAAATTTCGATTGCCAGTGGGTTCAACTCGTCAGAATCCGTTAACGTCGCGTATGATCTAACCCGTAACATCGATTGGACTAAGTTCCAATCCGCGATAGACGATACAGTATCGTCAGTGGAAGAGCTTCCGCCGTTGGAGGAATATAATTTCCTCTCTAATCTCATCGTCGACAGCGCACTTCAAGCTCAAACACGACCGGTGCCGCGATCGTCTATTCGTAAGAAAACACCATCGCTCTGGTGGGATCAACAATGCACGGAGGTTTACCGTAAAAAGTCCGACGCGTTTAAACTTTTTCGGAAACGCGGAACACGCGAGCATTTCGACGCATACACATCTCTTGAACGCGAACTCAAGAGCCTCATCAAGGCCAAAAAACGGGGTTACTGGCGGCAGTTTGTAGACGGATTGTCGCGCGAAACGTCTGTGAATACGCTTTGGAGTACGGCGCGAAGAATGCGTAACCGGTCTACTAACAACGAAAGCGAGGAATGCTCGGATCAATGGATTCTTAAATTCGCGCGAAAAGTGTGTCCGGATTCCATGCCGTCGCAGTTGATTCCTCGCGAAACCGCGAATTCGGTAGACGAAATCAGTCAGCCTTTTTCAATGGTGGAACTTTCACTCGCTCTCCTTTCGTGTGGCAATTCTGCCCCGGGATCTGATAGAATCAAGTTCAACTTGCTGAAAAACCTCCCAGACGTCGCTAAGAGGCGCATGTTGAACTTGTACAATCAGTTCTTGGAGCTCAATATTGTTCCCGACGATTGGAGACGAGTAAGGGTGATAGCCATTAAAAAGCCTGATAAACCCGCGTCGGATCACAATTCGTATCGGCCCATCGCGATGCTGTCGTGTATTCGGAAATTGATGGAGAAAATGATCCTTTTTCGCCTCGACAAATGGGTTGAGACGAACCACCTTCTTTCAGATACTCAATTTGGTTTCCGTAGGGGTAAGGGAACGAACGACTGTCTCGCGTTGCTTTCCTCGGAAATTCAGTTAGCTTTTGCTAAGAAAGAGCAAATGGCTTCTGTGTTCTTGGATATCAAGGGGGCTTTTGATTCAGTATCGGTTGAAGTCCTTTCAGACAAACTCCACGCTTGTGGCCTTTCTCCATTAATAAATAACTTTTTGTACAATTTGCTGTCAGAAAAACATATGAGCTTTTCTCATGGAAACTCTACAGCTTTTCGATTTAGCTACATGGGTCTCCCCCAAGGCTCATGTTTAAGCCCCCTTTTGTACAATTTCTACGTTAGAGAAATTGACAATTGTCTTAGTGACAATTGCACGTTGAGACAACTTGCAGATGACGGCGTAGTGTCTATCACAGGGCCAAAAGAGGTTGACCTGCAAGGACCCTTACAGGATACCTTGGACAATTTGTCTACTTGGGCTATTCAGCTAGGTATCGAATTCTCCACGGAGAAAACTGAGTTGGTCGTTTTTTCTAGGAAGCATAGCCCAGCACAACCGAAGCTTCAACTTTTGGGTAAGCCGATCACTCATTCCATGTCTTTTAAATATCTCGGGGTCTGGTTCGATTCCAAATGCACCTGGAGATCCCACATTGAGTATCTGAGAAGAAAATGCCAACTAAGGATCAATTTCCTTCGATCAATTACCGGAACGTGGTGGGGAGCCCATCCACAAGATCTTCTGACGTTGTACCGGACAACGATTTTATCAGTTTTAGAGTACGGTAGTTTTTGCTTCCAGTCGGCAGCTAAAACGCACATCATCAAGCTGGAACGGATCCAGTATCGTTGTCTTCGTATCGCGTTAGGATGCATGCACTCGACTCATACTATGAGTCTCGAAGTGCTGGCGGGCATGTTGCCACTATCCGTCCGTTTTTCAGAGTTATCTCTGAGGCTCCTCACCCGTTGCGAAGTAATGAACCCACTGGTGATCGAAAATTTTGAGAAGCTTCTGGAGCTAAATCCTCAAACATGTTTTATGACTTTGTACTACCTATATTTAACACAGGATGTCAGCCCTTCAAGAAATATTCCCAATCGTGTAATATTCTCCGATTTCGGCAATTCAGTGAATTTTGATTTATCTATGACGCAGGAAATCCGCGGAATTCCAGAGCATCATCGTTCTATGATTGCTCCGTCATTATACGCTGCAAAGTTTGGCCATGTTGATTCTGCAAGAACGTTTTTCACAGATGGATCTCTAATAGAGGAGTCCGCTGGTTTTGGTGTATTTAATGAATTTCATAGCGCCTCTCGAAAACTTGAAGCTCCTTGTTCTGTGTATGTGGCTGAACTGGCAGCAATTCACTACACTTTGGAAACAATTGCTTCACTTCTTCCAGACCATTACTTTATTTTTACGGATAGTCTCAGTTCTGTCGAGGCTATCCGTTCCATTAGGCCGGTAAAGCACTTCTCGTATTTTCTCTTGAAAATACGAGAAGGCGACATTTATGATCGACAGATCGCCTATAGTGAATTTTTCTCTATTTATCGTCAGCAGTCGCTCGTTAGCTGGCAACATCAATGGAGTGAAGGGAGCTTGGGACGATGGCTACATTCAATTATCCCTAAGGTGTCGAAGTTTGCATGGTTCAAAGGGTTGGACTTGAGTCGAGACTTCATACGCGTGATGTCTCGTCTCATGTCTAATCACTATTGTCTAAACGCTCACTTGTTCCGTGTGGGGTTGGGAGACAGCAATCTCTGTGAATGTGGACAAGGTTACCAGGACGCTGATCACATCCTTTGGTCTTGTGCGGAGTATCGTGGAGTCAGATCACATTTTTATGATTCCCTTCGGGCTCGAGGTAGACAACCTAATGTTCCAGTTCGGGATATTTTGGCTAGACGCGATCTGGAGTTTATGAAACTCATATATGTTTACTTTAAGGATATTAACCTTAGATTGTAAGTTTGATTAACCTTGTGTTTAGTTTGTATTTTGTACGTGTGGGTTTTTTTTTCAATGTTTGTTTTCAAGATGAATAGAAATAATTTCATGCTTTAGGATTAATTAAATAGTTGTATCGTAAACCACATTTCAAACCTCCTTCTTCCCTTTTCCCATCCAAAAAATTGTAAATCTCCACTAACCTCGAGACAACCGCGAGTACTCGGTCCAGTTCCTTTAACTTTAAATTTAAGACAGTAATAATGTATAACGCAAAGAATAACTCGGCTCTGTAAAGTTTATTCGATTGAGCCTGTACAAATAAAGTAATTATAAAAAAAAAAAAAAAAACCGGAAGAAACACCCTAATGTCTTGAACATGAGTTTGGCAGTTTGGCTAAAATAAATGAAAAATCTCTCCAGGTACACACATTTTATTCCGCCTATATACGGCTTTTAGACCACAGTGAAATGTCGAACTTTTGGGAGCAAAAGGTTAAAACTCCGGTCCATTCCCAATACTGCATGCAAAACACTCATATACCAAATTAACGAACCAAAACAATGACTAACCTTTACCCCCCCCCCCCCCCAAAAGTACCTCCGACTGGCCACTAACACAATTCCCTGTTATTTTCCAGTGGAAGCTACGGTTATGTCGATCCTGATGGCGAGAAGCGCGAATACAACTACGAAACGGGCATCCAGTGCGACCCGAACAAGCGTGACGAGGAAGATGAGGAGGAATTGGAAGAAGAACTACAGCAGAAAAATGTCCCTGCCAAGGTGAAACGACCTCAACCACAGCAGCAGCAGCAACAGCAATACTATAGAAACTAAGACATATCTCAAAGGCTCTGTCGCCATTTAGGTACAGTGAGCTAAATAAATAACAACTGCTCGAAGAGTAGAGATTTCTCAAGAACAAGCAAGCCAACAGTATCTTCAGTTTGAATTGCATACAGCTGTATTTTCGTCATTAGGATTGTATTTATTTTACACTTACGACTTAAGATTTCTAATAAAAAGAAAAACGTTTTCCTTTAAGAAAAAAAGAAGAAGAGATGATTCACTCAATTTCACACTTAATCCCAACGGGTGACACGTCCGCCGCGGGAGGCCCATCGAGTTCCGGGCCTGGTTCGCCCCTAGTAAGGCCTTGGCCGGGCCCCACGGGGAGGCAAACGGTTCGGTGGGGTAATGTTGATATCCAAGTAATCTCCGATTGTGAACTTTGCGTGGGACAGCGTTTTCGTGTCGTCGGCGCCCTTCTGCCCGGAACAGGTAACGCCTATCTCGCGCATCCGCCAGGTCGCAGCACGATCCGGATACACGACCGCAAAGTCAAAGTAGGTTCCCTTGCGCCGGGTTTCCGGATTGACGTCCCGCACCAGAGTGGTCAGTTCCCGCAGGGTGGCATCCATCCACGTATAGATTTGCAGCTCGTTCGACGGGACATTGCCGTGGATGTACTCGTTGGCCGAATGGTGCCGTCCTGTCGAACAGAACACCCGCAGCAGCAGGGGACATGTCTGAAAGGGATGATAAGGACAATCAGTGCAAAACAAAGCTGGTATCAATTTACAATCAACTATATACAAATATGAGACAAGCTGCCTAATCCGAAATTCTGAAATGATTTTTTGGCATTGTAATGCCGCGGATACACTTGTATGACAAACTATGAACATGAGCATTATTTGTATAATAATTATGAGCACTATACAACAACTATACAGTAACTATACAAGTGTGACCATGGATGTGCACATAATTTATTATACAAATAATGCTCATGTTCATAGTTTGTCATACAAGTGTATCCGCGGCATAACCCTTATAAATTGATAGTGGCCATCTTGCCAGGTCTTCCCAGCCCATCCAATAACGATCATTTTTTTCAAAACTTTATAATACAATTAAAAGCAAATCGAATGATATGATCCATTGCCAGACGTGTGGTTTAGATACAATGCTCGTCTTGCCATATGGCCATCTTACCCCACTTTCCTCTACGGGAAGTTGGGATTTTATTGAATTAAATTACACGACACAGTGTTACTTGAAATAAGTAGAATTTTGTTCTTCAGCTTTATCCAAACTCAGATTCCATGTTCTTGATCGGTTCTGCACTAATCCATGGGCCAATATATGTACATGATTAACAGTTTGTATCGTGTGGGAAGTAACTTATTTACTTACTCTTAAAAATTGTTGGACATTAAAGAAATTCAACATTTTCAACTGTATATTGTTTGGTTGCTTCTGTTCTGACAACAGCTGCCTCTTGGTATCTTGGTCAGATCGTGGTTTCACCCGCAAGGTTAACAAACATATTACGTTAAGTTGTGCTTTTAATTTTAAAAATTTGTCTTGAAGAAGACACTGATTTTTTAGTCTGTCAAAGAGAGATCACAAGAAAGTGATTTTATACTGGATCTAGTTTTTCCCTAAAGGACTTAAAAAGCGACGCTGTCTGGAGATCCAGGATGGAAGTCTTTCATGTTGACCCCATGGTGCCACTGGAGGTGCGCAGGATACACGGGTAAGTGAGTGAGCAGTTTCAGATATCAGGTTTGGCCTGAGGCAACGAATCTAAGCCAGCTATATAAATTGAATCAATAGAAGCAAACTATAGATCTATAGATCCGGCTCAGGAAGATCCAACGCTGGTCAAGATCGCTGACCAAAGAAAGGTAAATCACTGAAACGCTACCTTATACCTACCTACGACAGACATGTTTGAAGTACCGTTATACTCTTTTAATCCAGTACCACAATGGAAGTACTAGATTAAATGAGTACAACGGCACTACAATCATGTCTGTCGAAGGTATTACCAGACAACAACTAACCGGGAATGATTTTTTATTTTCTGCCTAGCATCCACAACTCCGAGACTACAAGCAAAACTTAATTTAGTACCCTATAACTAAATCCAATATTTGAATCATTTTAATAAATCGACCATTCCAATATGGCAAAGCAAAATACTGCCCAACAATAACGAAACCTACCTTTTCCCGATCGACGGATTTCTGCAACTGCTGTTTGTCCTCTACAATCATCGATTCCAGTCCGGCCATTATTCCAGTGGTTTTCCTAGTCACTGTATAGAAATATTAAGCAATTGAAACACAATTCCGAACGCTATATCGCGTATAAAAAGAACTATTTTCTAGATAAAAATACGCTTTACGGAAATTCTAGCCTCGCAAATCGATTGACGCTCGCGTCTTGTGCGGTACTTTCTTCGTGGTGTTTGTTTTGGCAGAGCTGTCACGCATATACAAAACGTCGATAGGGCATGCACGCTTATTCAGATCAACTCAAAATTGAGTCGAATGTGCTCATATCAGCGGCCTGACTCACTTTTGAGTAAACGGTGATTACATGGGATCTGAGATACATTTACTCACTATCAAATGAATGAGCTTTTGAGTCAGTTTTACTCAATTTTATCAATGTGATTAAATTAGTGCAGCATAATTATAAATACTTTCAATTAATGATTTAGAGAAAACAAAACATCTTAAGTTATTTATTTATTCATGTTATAGCATAAATGACATGACATGACAATGACATGTGTTCATAAGAAGTATGAATGTAGAACGTAGATCGATAGTATGTCGAAGGCGTAAAAAATTTAATCTAGTTCAGCTTGTATTGCCTCGGCAATGAATCCGCACGCGTTATTAACAGCTTTTCGACCGCTATGTTCCATGGTTTTGTAAACCAGGATGTTAAACACATCGCGCAACATCTGAATTCGAGTTGGCACCTTGATCCCAAACACACTGAAGCATTTGAGATACAGATCAAAAATGCGACGAATTGACGGATCCTTTACAATTTCCACTCCTTCGAAAGCAATTGTATACGAACCACTTTTGAATCCTTCTGCCTCACAAATAATGGACAGTATACTGAAAGCATCTAAATGGTAGCTCCCACTCGAAAAGAGTGTTTGTTTCTACTATGCCACGAAATAGTAGATATAAATACAAATTACTCAATATTTATTACGATATGGTCAAAACTACTATGCATTAGCTACGGAGGCGAACCAGCCTAAGGCTGAAAGCCTCCTAAATAAAGCTAAATTAATTAATTATGCATTAGCTAGAAATGCAATGGTAAAACTAACAACATTTTATCGACAATTCAAGCAGCTATTCTCTTCAAAGTTACCGTTTTCATGGTAGCAGCAACTACCGCTAATGAGATAAAATTGTCTTCTGTCTGCGTATCTATACCATTAATATGGTAGAATTAATTGCACAATACCGACAGTTTTTCACTGATAATATTTTGCGATTGAAAATACCATGCTTGTGGTATTTTCCGATTCACACAAAACTTCTGGTTGCAGCCATTTGTAAATATGAAAAATATCGTCTTTCCCATCATCGAACTGGACAGTAAACATATCGCCTTGTCCAGTTGTGTGTGGAATTCTTTGAAAAAAAAAATGAAAATTATTGTGAAAAATTGTTGATTTGCTAGGTAAGTCTGTTAGCTGGAATTTTCAATTTTAATTTATTTGTTTTCTTTCGAATATTGTAGTTGGAAGCAAAAATGTAACCTGAATCTGCCGCCCATTATGACGCATTCAGACGACAGCGTCTCCCGATTTACAGCTCATCGCACAAACAAATATCGCAATAAGCGGCACCATTTCAAACACCCACGAACTCTGATGGAGCAGCTCTCGGCTGCTGGAACTTTTTTAAGCTGAAGCCAATGAATCCAATTGCTCTGAAATTAGGACCAGGGAACTGTACCACGGCAAAGTGAAATTTTCTTAGTGAAAAGCCGGAAGATCAACCCTAATGAATGTTGCAGGAATTATTGTTTATAATTTAATTTTATAACTAATATTGTTGTTTGTGTTATAGTATATTGTATGGATAGGTAATTTTAATGAATAAAATCTAGATTTTCGATTTGGAAGGTAAAATTTAAAAACATCCATCAAAAGTGAAAATGAAAAACAAAACAATAATTACCATGCCATAGTAAAACATCATAGAGCATAGTAAAATCAACAATTATTTTATATCAGAATGTACCTAAGCCAATGCACAAACCCGTACTAAAAATGAGAGCATTCTCAGTTGGAAATACAATAAACTGAGAATGTTTACTGAACAGTATTTTTGACTACACTTGTGCTCGTTGTGAACACATGATGTAGTCTGCAAAAAAACATAGGTACGTTACGTTTAATTTAAACCACCAATATGGTAGATTCTACTGCACCATCCCTTTCCGTGTAGGCAATCATCTTCACCAGTACGTGTGATATTCTCTAAGATATTCTGAAAACAATATGAATGATTTTGAAAAATAACTAACTTTAAATTAAATATTAAAATGTATACCGTTGACCACTGCTTCAATGGGGCTGCCAGTCCATGCTCAGCATTGGAAAAACCATTGCCTTGAGGTGCGTATCGGCTACCTGTTCCTTTTCGGTGCAATCTTGCGAAGATCCTCAAAATTCCTCGAAGATGAACTTCAATTAAAGAACATTTTATAATCAGAACAAATGAAACATATAGTAATATAAGAGGTCTTGACGTACACAGAAAAAAAAAGGTTGTTGAATATTACATCCAAACTGCTGCAACCAGGTCAATCCATCGGTTGTGTAATATAACGTCGTACGATGTACATCGATTTTGCGAACAAAATTACATCCATTGATGTAATATTGTAACTGCTTTTTGCTATTACATCATTATTTCATACATCAGATTGAATTACATTGATCGATATTACATTTTTTTTGCTGTGTAGGAATCAATTAATATTGGTAAATTGGTTTAAGCTCTACAGCTCCAAATCCAATTCTGAGTGCTTTTAAGATTTAAGTTGCGTATGCTATTAAAGCAGTAGAGCTAAAATCTGACACATCAACTATACTAATAAGAAATACATCGAATTCAATAACGTACTATCGCTAACGAAGTGACAGACGGAGCGGCTCGAAAACTTTGGTGACTAACCTGCTATTTCAATTTTTCAGTGTACCACATGAAACCACCATTACTACCACAAACGAAGTGACAGACGACTAACTGGCGAAGAAATCAATTAAAATAATGTGGTTCACTGTAATAGAATTTTCTTAGAAGCTTGTGCCATCATCCATCAGATGGGATAGTATTTTTGTTTTGGTTTTGCACAAAGTTGATTCTGTGTACAATGATTCTTTGACAGTGTGCAAAGAGTGTATATCATTTTGTCATTTTTTTTTATGCATTCCAGTTTTGAGTAGAGTGAAAGAGATCGAACCAAAACATTCTAGTACATTTGGTGAAAATGCTAGTTCAATCCAGTAGTAGTGTTGCCATGTGGTACAATCCAGTGGTAGTGGTGTTGCCATGTGATACACTGAAAAATTGCAATAGCAGGTTAGTCACCAAAGTTTTCGAGCCGCTCCGTCTGTCACTTCGTTTGTGCTACTACTAGATTGTACCAACAATCAATACGAAACTAACGATTTTAAATTGGCTCACCACTTTAGTAGCCTATTGGTCCCAAGCAAACGATTAACGTACCCTATTCTAGTTGAAATTCTATTACTACACTATGTTTGTTTTGATTCGCTATGAAAGTTTGACAGATAACATCAGGGGTGTGTGGATTCATGCAGAACATGCAGGGGTGAGTGAAATAGCTTGGGACTGCTTGGGACCGTTGTTCTGGTACTGAGTGAGCCAAAAATAATAATGATTTTCTTCGGGACCCAGTGGTCTTAGAGTTACCTCTATGATTGTACCACATGGCAACACTACTACCAACAATCAATACGAAAATAACGATTTTAAATTGGCTCACCACTTTAGTAGCCTATTGGTCCCAAGCAAACGATTAACGTACCCTATTCTAGTCGAAATTCTAGTACTACGCAATGTTTGTTTTGATTCGCTATGAAAGTTTGACAGATAAAATGAGGGGTTATTGGATTTTCCTATGTTTCGAGGGTGATTCGACTAGCTTGGGACCGAAGATAGTACCAGAGGTGAGCCAAAAAGTTGAGCACGTTTCTTCGGGACCTACTTGTCTTAGAGTTACCTCTATGCTACTACTGGATTGTACTAGCATTTTCACCAAATGTATTCGAATTTTTGGTTCTATCTCTTTCAATCTACTCAAAACTGAAATGCATAAAAAAAAATGACAAAATGATACACTCTTTGCACACTGTTAAAGAATCATTGTACACAAAATCAACTTTGTTCAAATAAAAACAAAAAACTAACCCATCTGGTGGATGATGGCACAAGCTTCCAAGAAAATTCTATTACAGTGAACCACATTATTTAAATGGATTTCTTCGCCAGTTAGTCGTCTGTCACTTCGTTTGTGATACTATCTTCCACTCCATTGAAAAGGTTTGAGGTGAGCAGCAGCCCTTTGGAGATCACCGGAGTGAAATCGAGATTTTGTCCTACATTAGAGTTGAGACGATAGAACCATAGAGGTAACTGTAAGACTAGAAGGTCCCGAAATAACGTGCTCAACTTTTTGGCTCAGCTCTGGTGCTCTCTTCGGTCCCGAGCTAATCAATTCACCCCTCGAAACATAGGAAAAACCAATAACCCCTCATTTTATCTGTCAAACTTTCATAGCAAATCAAAACAAACATTGCGTAGTACTAGAATTTCGACTAGAATGGGGTACGTTAATTGTTTGCTTGGGACCAATAGGCTAGTCAAGTATAGTGAACCAATTTAAAATCGTTAGTTTCGTATTGATTGTTGATAGAACCACAAACGAAGTGACAGACGGAGCGGCTCGAAAACTTTGGTGACTAACCTGCTATTGACGGATTTCACGCCAACTCATCCAGTGGTTGGCAGCACCCTCTCAGAACCTTATGGAACTTTGTGGGTGTGGAGACTTAGCAATTTTAAGCAACTTTGCGTACTTATTTTTTTCAAAATTTATCTCGCCTAACATTTGATAAGGGTCAAAGTTTTTTGTCGATTTTTTTTTCAAATCGATATAGCTTAAAAATGACAAGCCCTACAAAAAAGTGATGTATGGCGAACTTTTAGCAAATAATCTGAAATTTTATAACAAAATTTAAATAAAATAAAAAATCGGTTTCTACACTCTAAAAAAATATATTTAAAAATTAAAAGTCATTTTCCCAAAAATGGTACCCCTCAGATTTGCTTGATATTTTTTCTCATGAAAGGCAATATAATTACCTAACTTTTCT